TCAGTTCAACCTTTCCTATTCCATATTCTCCTTCCCCGCTTTACATCACTGCATTCTATCTTCCCTTCCATGAAACTTTCCACCCCCATGGCCTTTACTAGTTTCCTGACCTCTAAGGTTTTACCTATTGAAATACACATATCTAAAGATTCAAAGTCAACATCCATTTATGAGAGAGGACATGTGACGTTTGTCTTCCAGTTCCATTCATTTACCTGCGAGTTTCATAACTTCATTTTTCTTAACAGCTAAATAATATTCCATTGTGTAAAGTACCATCCTTTCATTATTCATTCATTAGTTGATGGCCATCTAGGTTGCTTCCATTTCCTGGCTACTACAAATAATGCAGCAATGAACATGGATGAGCAGGTAGCTCTGTCATAGGATATAGTCTTTTGAGTACATGCTCAAGCATGGTATGACTACATCATGTGGTAGATCTAGTTCTAGCTTTCTGAGGACTCTCCACACTGTTTTCCACAGTAGATGCAGCAGTTTGCATTCTCACCACTTTTGAATAAGTGTTCCCTTTTCCCCATATCCTCACTAGCATTTGTCATGGCTTGTGTTTTGGCTCTTAGCCATTCTGAGTGAGGTAGGATGAAATATCAAAGTAGTCTTAATTTATACTTTCCTGATAGCTAAAGATGTTGAATATGTAAGAAAATATTTTCTAAATCATTTGCATTTCATCTTTTGAGATTAGTATTTCACCCCAATTTTTCATTGGGCTGGCTTCTTTGATATTACGATCCTGTTGTTAAAGAAATTCCATAGAACAATCAAGGAGAAATAAGGTGACACCGACCTCAAAGCTTCCTCTCTACTGGATAGATTGCACAATGCTGGAAGGTGCTATGTATGCACATGATACCAACAGAGAAAAGTAATCATCATCCTTACCCAGCTACAATAACAATATTGGGAGCTAAAATAACAACTGGCCTGGCAAGATATGCCCATTAGTGCAATAGTGGCACAAAAGTTAAAGGAGTAACCAACCATTTTGTGACTGGATTTAAGAGCACTTCACAAGAGGGAGGCCCTAAATGGTACACATATCATATGCTCTCCTCCCAAGGCTTAGGGATCACTGTGGAAGAGGGGGCAGGAAAACCATAAAAGTCAAAGGTGGTAGATGAATAAAAGAAATCATGTTGTTTAGACACAATAGGGCAGCTGCACATATGATTTCACAGCACTTGTGACAGCATGCCCAGGATCTATACAAGTTCAAGCCAGATAACCCAGCATGGAAGGAGGGAAGTAGGCAAGAAGCTCCAGCCCTACCTGAGGAACTATTAGCAACTGATAGCTGCTGGAAAAACAACAGTCAGTTTTCTTTAAGTATGTGAGCCTGGGTAGGCACACCAGGCTCCAGGGGATGGACCCACACTGAAGAGCATTTGAGGACACAATTTCGTCTCAATAGGCCTTAAAAATAAAATAATAGAGGACATGAAGTCAGGAAGGTATAGTAAGGTGGGAGGGGAGATGGGGGGGAGGGTCTGAGCATGATCAAAATATATTGGATGAAATTCTCAAAGAATCTGTATAAATAAAAATTTCTAGGATTCATAGTTACACATCTCTCCATGCAAGTGAAAAAAACTTATCTTCTGCCAGTCATCCTAGACTCCATTCTATTAGGGCCAACACAGACTAACTAAACCACTCCTGATCAGATTGCTATAGTCAGAAGAATGTCATGTGTGGGTTTTCACCTAGATTATATGCCTGCCTTGGATCAGGGATAACCTCGCAGAGACATGTTCTGAGAGTCAGTTTTGGAATAGAATCAGGAAAGGTATTCTTCAGTGTTCAACACAGCAAATATTGTGAGTTTTTAGTATACAAAATACAAACCTCCAATGATAAAGATTAACAGAAGAGAAACAAGTCATCTTTTAAAGGGGGAGACAAAAACACCAGCTTTCTGTTAGAGCATCATAAATAATCCTTCAGTGACTTGGGGAAAAAAAAAAAAAACTTTTATCAGAAAAATTCAAATTCAGCTAATGTATCAATAGAACATGTGGGCAAAAAGGAACTATTTCCCAAGTGTGAGGATTTGAAAGAAACTCTGATGAGGAAGTTTCCTAAAGATGGATTCCACTGAAACAGGGGAGAGGAAAAAACATTACCTCTAGAATAAATACCTACAAATCAGTAGAGAAAGAAAATATGATATTCCTTAAATATGCTTTCTATAGAAATATGATGCTTATGTGCATATTTTAGTATCTATTACCCAGTTTACAAGCCTTAACAGAAAACTTACACAGAATTCAAAAGTATTATTTTCAGAAAATAGAGGTTACACCAAATTAAACTAGGAATGAATCAGTTACATTTCAATGTTTAAGAAATTGTATAGAATACAAGACTATTCACAAAAGACCAATATTTTACAAACAGCTTAATATATGTATATCTGTCATATTCATTTAGTATTCTATGGACTATAATGGATTATTACCTTTCTGATAGTTTTCATGACTTCTACCAAAATAGGAAAAAGATAAGTCTAAACTTCAAGAGTTTTATTAAAACTTCCTAAGTCTTTTTTATGAAATTCTAAGTCTTTCCAACTTAAATAAATTGAATTCTTTGCAAAATGAAGCATGCCATAGACAAAGCTTAGCTCTCATGTTTGGAGAGGATAAAAAACTATGAAAACAAAAGACTGTCTTACATGTAAAAGTTACAGACTTGTAAGCTGTTATAAATTTTTTAAATGAAAATAAGTCTAACTGCCTTGAATACTTCATTAATATTCAAAGGATTAAAAATATAGTTCTATCCTTTTTTCTTAGAACAAGTGGAGAAGGACTTGAAAAATTATAGCTTTTCTAGATTAGGGTGTTTTTCCCATAATTACTCAATTATTCATTAGACTATGTAAGACCTCTACTGGAATCTTTGTACCAGGGTTTCATAAATGGATTTAACTCTAAAAGCCTTGCTATATAATCTATCTCATAAAAGCAATATATTTCTGATATTTATGTCTTTAAAGTATCCTATAGTAAAATTAATATTTCTGCACAGGAAAAGAAGGAACTATTTAGTCCCAGACAACTTGATAACATCTCTTTCAACTATAGTTATAATTATCATGTATGAAATTCCAAAGCTGAAATTGTCAAGATTTAACATTAGCATTAATTTATGTCATAACTGACGGTTACTATAAAGATAATGGCAAAGCATCCATTTCTCCAAAGACAGCATGGATCGAAAGGGAAATTTCTTCTTAATTACTACTAATCTGCTCACTTTTAATTAAATTGATTAGTAATTTATTATCGTCCCTCTCTTGGAAGGCTGTTATTATCACAGAGCTTCTCCAAAGTTACCACATTTGTAATTTTTTAAGCAATCCAATTATTTTAGTGTAAGTTCTACCATTTTGTAATATTGGTTTATGATTAAATTTTAATATCCAGCTTCTATATATTTTAGAAAGTAAATTTTGAAATACAAGTTTTCTGTTCAGTCTTTTACATCTTGAACTGAGCAATGTCAACAGCACCATTCTGGAGAGACAGCCACTGGCAGAAGGACTCGCAACCTTTCTCATTTGATAATCACAGCAGTTGTCACTGACAAGTGCTTCCCCGTGACAGCCTCTCAAAAGTCTCTATATCTCATACTACCTAAGGAGACTACATATTTTCCTGTTTCTTTTAAAAACAAACATGATCCAACATACAAAATGCAAACTATTTTAATTAAGCAAATTTTAAAAGTACTTAGGTACTTGATATATTTTAAATCAAAATCATTAATTGATACAAAGCTTTTATTAATATCAAATTGAAAGTACAGGAGTGATCTAAGAATAGGAAATGTTCATGACAAAATTTCTGAAAAGGCTGAATATCCCTAAAGAATGAAGACATGCAAAGCAGTGTCCTTTGGTAAGGGAATTTTCCTTTCTTTTCACTGTGAAACATTAAGACATCCAGTACACACTAACCCAAGTTTCCTATTTTGTAAATATGCCTTATGTGAGCTGAGTATCACCAGCTGAATAAGTATTTGTATTTAAGAATACCAAACTATCAATAGGTGGCTATCAATGAGAATAAAAAGATAGTTGCTCAATATAAATAATCTCCTTTAATTAACATTTACTGAGTATAGTATCTACTAGATCCCCACACATCTCTGCTAAATTTTGTATACTGAAATTAACAGTGAATGCATGATGGGCAATAGAATAACATATAGAAAGGCACAAGTATTTAATTCATACTTTTGCAAATTCAATCGGAGCTCAGTCTCTGACTTCCTTAGTAGTGGTCTGCCTAAACTATACTTCACCTGAAAGGTTTCACTATCACGTGTATCACCAGTGCCCTGGCTATTCCCTGCTCACACCTTCACCATGCTTCACTCTTTTTCACAATACTCTTCAACATTAATCATAATATTTATTAGCTTACTCTTCCACTAGAAAAGTATGATCTAAAGAAACAAGGCTTCATGTGATTTGTTTAGTACTCATGCAAAAACATATTTGTAAGCCAAGTGTGTTGGCACACTTCTTTTATCCCAGGACTCAGGAAGCAGAGGCAGGAGGATATCTGTGAGTTCTAGGCCAGCCTGGTGTACTGATCTACATAGTGAGTTCCAGGGCAGGTGTGGCTACAGGGGAGACCCTGTCTCAAAAAGAAAAACAAAAAACAACAAACTATACGTATGTGTTAAAGAAAAAAAGGTTGAATGGCTATTTTTTTTCTAGTCTCCTGAGGAAAAGAAAACTTAAATATTATTTGCCAAGCCTAGAAGTCAATCACTATCAAAAATCTAATTTTTGTATATTCTTTAATATAAACCATACTAAAAGGATTTTTGTTATCTACTCCACAAAAGACAAAATATCCATTCACAAAACAGTTGGACAACAGTTGCAAATTATTTAATATTAAATAATTCAGTAAACAAGATTTACAAAATTCAAAAAATATGTAATTAGCTACTCGGCATACCTTAACAAGTTTCAAAAGCTCGTAGAGATCTTCAACCTCGTCACCTTCACATTTGGTATACACTCGTCCTGTATCCAAGCTCCTTCCTCTTATGGTTCTGCGGTAGAGGGGAAGAGCCATTGCTTCTGCATACAGGTCAATGGCATGATGACCCACTGTCTGATACATGTAGCTATCCAGTTCATCGGACCCCACTGAAATAGTTAGAAAAAAAAAATCATAAAGGCAGAAAAGAAGTAGACTTTAAGAAGTAGGTTTTACTTCTTCAAACTAAGCTTCTGAACTTACATTGCCCTGTCTTTTAAAGTGAAATAAAAGATAGGAATTACACATTTGGCCAGAGTTAAATTCAGGTGGGATCAGCTCTAATCATCTGCACTGCTGTTTACCAACAAAACTACATATAAAATTGTAACACTATATACAACATTTAAAGAGAACAATGTAGCCAATAAATTTTGATTAGTTTATTCAATTACAGATTTTAATTATATAAGTGGTTTATTCAAATCATTTGTGGTTATTCACAAAGACATCTAGATTTGTAATAAAAACTTTTCTTAATTGACTATTCAGTAAGTGATAAATATTTGTCAGAAAAAAGTAGAGGTGCTTGGTATATATTATATTCAGTACTTTAACAAAACATGTAAATTCAGTATTTGTTAGTGTAACTAAAAATGTGTTTGGAAACATGATAAGTTAATCAATAATACAATCACTGGGTGACACAAGATTCCCCAAATATTATAAGTAAAACTTTTTTTAAAAAATGGGTTATAATCCATCATATGGTAAAATAAATAAACTCAGAAATATGCTGAGCTTTCAATCATAACTATTGTTTAAAAAGGAATCACGAATATATACAGATTGTCTGCAAAAGCATTTATCACAGCACTATTTGTATTAGATCAGGAACTACAGCATATTCACATAATGAAATGTGATACAGCCTTTGATGCAACTGTTAAGAGCATGTCCCAAAATGTATTCTTCAGATTCCAAATTTCAAACGTTATAAATATAATGGTTAAAAAACCATTACATGGCAAATAAGTTTTTGACATCTGTAGGTAAATAATGCTAAGTAGATGTCCTCGTTGCAGTTTTTCCTAAGCTAATATGCTTTCAGTCCTCCAACAAGACAATACAGTAGTAATTATCTCTTGAGTTTATCCAGATTGCTTATATTTCATAGAAGTATTTGTGTTCAAAAGAAGATATGTGAGAAATGACATGGAGAATAATATTCAATGCCATGGAAAATGTTTACAATATGTTAAATTAGAAAATAATTGTTTACTTGGGCTAGAGAGATGGTTTAGCCATTAAAGGCTCAGGATCACAATTTAAAGATCAAAAAATAACGGATTACAAAATAATTTGTTTGACAGATGTACAAGTGCATGCGTGTGTATGTTTTATGTTCAGCAGGTCAAGGTTTTCCTCTAAAATGAAAAAATGCCCTATTGATGGGAATAAATAATAGAGTTAACTATTCTTTAACAATCAAAACCATTACCATATGCCATTTCATTATCAATCATGAGATTTCTGACCTCCACAGCAGATTGGCTTCCTACAGAATGGTACTCTTTATTATAAATCAGTCTATTTCTCATCACAGTATTTAATACTGATTTAGCCAAGGTCAGCCCAAGTATTTTCACCCTTCCCTCCTATGAAAGTAAAACTGAATCTTTAAATGTATTAATGCTAAGAGATATTGATGCAATCAAATCAATTAATTCAAAGAAACTTGAGTTATATAGTAAGAAACATCCTGAAATTGGCATAATAACTAAGCATTGTAATGGATTCAAAACCCAATAAATTGTAGTTAAGGCTCCATGTAGTCCTTACCACAATGTAATCTTATGAGTGGAAGGTATACAGCAACAACTGGTACAAGAGCAAATAAAACCAAGACTCCACTGTTACCCAAAGCATTTCAATTAACATACCACAAAGTTCCTACTACAAATTTAAAGAGAGGGTTTGTGAATTTTATGACAAGTACACATTATCCCCATTGATGGGAATAAATTATTTTCCACAGTGCGTACTAAAACCTAATGTGGTGAAAACATTCTAAAAACAATGTTGTAAATACATTCTAACTAGCTTAGAATGCAATGGAATCGGCTCTGCCAGTCATTCTTCATTGAGGCGCCTTGCAATATATTTAAGGGAAAAGAAATCATTCAACAATTCCAATTTCCTGCTGACTTTAAATCAATATTAGCAAACCATCTCCATCTACCGATCCGCAGAAATCTAATCTTTTCTATACCAACTACATAGTTTCAGTTGACTTTTTCAGCTTTTTAGTTCATAATATTCTAATTTTATTTACTATTGAATTACTCATCAGTAGATAATATTCTATTAAGTGTCATTATTCTATTAATAAATATAATTTTAAAATATACTTGCATGTTATTTTACTGTTCTGCCAGCAAAATGAACAAATGGAAGATTATATAATAATGATTTCATGCAAGATAAATGTAATAATTCATGCGGAAAAGCTGAAAGCAAGATACCAATTAAAAGAGGGAAATTAAGTGATAGATACACTATATGCCCTAGAAACATTTTTTTTTTTTTTTTTTTTTTAAGTACTAAGATTTCTCTAGATAAAGACTCACTTGCCTGACTAGAAGCAAGGCTTAGGGAGTTTCTTCACTTTGTAACAAACACTAGACCTTGAAAGATTTGCTGCTTCATTTACAACACAGAGGCCACAGCCATCATCTGAAAGACTTTTCTTTCTTTTTAAAAATTAGAACTAGAAGGTTATTAGCATAAAGTCTTCACTTTTAAAAATCTGTTTCTTTCATCAGCAGAATCCTGGTATAAAATCTCAAGAGTATACATTTGCCGTGAGTCTTTGTAAGTTCTACCTCTTCCTATCAAATACTTCCAATTTTCATCTTTCAGTATGACTTCCAAAATTACGTGGGTGTCTATCACAGAAGAAAAAAAGTTCAAATATATGACTGACATAACTGGCCATTATTCCACGCTAATTTAAATAAGTTCAATATTTACTGGTCCACCAAGAAACTGAGTGAACTCCCACTACAGGCACAGCTTCCAAGAGCTGTGAAGCACTGACAGGAAAGTATGAGATATGATATCTCCTCTTAAAAGGCTTATACTCTATTAGAGGATATAAAGAAAAGAGAAAATAAATAGCAATCACAAAATAATTGCTTTTTATTAAAGTGTGGATGTGTTTATTTGAAAATTTAAAATTACAGCACACTGGAAACCTGAGGAAAGTAAAGGAAGAAGGGGGTGGAGAGAGGAAGGGAGGATGAGAAATAACGTTAGATTCTGATTCAACTCAATTTATAATCCTATAACTTCACAATAGGAATTATGGTTAATATTTTCACAAACACTACTCATTTAATTCACCCTGAAATAACACTAGAGCAAAAGCATAGAGCTTAGAAAAAAGTTAAAGAGAGGGTAAAAGATCTGACTAGAATACCCATGGAGAAAAGGAACAAGACAGAAATAGGTCAGTTCTAATTTTTTCTCCCTTACATTGGCAGTGATATCAGCATAGCAAAGAATATAAAGAAAAACTGGTTAAAAAAAAAAAAAAGAAAAAAGAAACATTCATTTTTATAAAGTTCTAACAGGAAATTTCATTGGAGAAAAAAAATTGAAAAAAATGGAGTCAACATGAGATTTGTGGGTTATCTGTTGATGTTTTTTACCATAAATACCTTGAAAGTGCTCTCTCAAGCTTTGTGTTTCACTTACATGTAAGACAGTTAAATGATATCTTTTCAATGGTAAAATTCATATATTATGCACTAAGAATACACAACTCATCAGATTGCTTCTTACCTACTTGAACATTGCCTGCAACTTTTAATATTTTCTTTTTATTTTATGTGTATGAGTGTATTGCCTGCATGTAGGTAGGTGTACCCATGTCCTACAGTGCCCACAGACATCAGAAGAGAGCATCAGATCCCCTGGAACTGGAGTTACAGACAGCTGTTAGCTGCCATGTGGGTGCTTGGAGCAGAACCCAGGTGCTCTGCAAGAGCAGCCAGTGCTCTTAAGCACTGAGGCATCTCTTCAGCCTACAACTCTTGGAGATATGAGTTGGCAGCAAATTCTAAAGTGAGAGAGCTTATATTTATGTTCTAAATGTTTCTGCTAGCTATTTTATTTTGGAGAAAATAAAATCATTAATTAATTAGTTAATAGTGTCTCTCGCAGCTGATCTGAATATTAAAGGTTATGTGTGTGAAAACATCTAATGTCAAGTTTCATGCAGAATTTTGTATCTAATATGGCTAACAGTCAAAGGTTTTTGGTTTGTTTGTTTTCCCCACTTTCCCTGCTGCACAAAACAATAAAGCCTGCTTTCAGTCATTTGGAAAGCTTTCCAAAAAAGTTGTTTGCTCACCTCGCTTTTCATCTGGTCTTAGATTTGCTAAAGCAACAATTTGATGCCCCGCAGCAATGCACTGCATCATGTTATAACAGCTGTCCTTCCCACCACTGAAAAACAAATCATAGAGAGACATGTCAGGTCACTGACTATCATTTAGCACAGAATCACTAGACATCAGAATTGAACACACTGTTTATTAGCTTTTCTGGCTACATGAGAGACTGTTTCACAACTACAAACCATAAAATACAATTAATTTGTAAATCAGAAGCAAACTGAGCACAGGAATCTGAATGTCTAAGGCTGCTATTTCTAGGAACCTACAAAACTATGTGCATTTATAATACAGACTCTCTAAACAAAATATGATATTTGTGATAGGGGTTTTACTTAACATAAGTGTGTTATGCAAATAAAAAATTATTCAAAATGATATCCCAGCTTAACACATATGTCATGTTCCTTAGATGAAATTCCCTAATTAAAAAAAAAAAAAATTCTAGGGCTGCAGAGGTGATTCAGTGGTTAAGGGCACTGGCTGCTCTTGCAGAAGACCCGGGTTTGATTTCCAGAACTCATATAGCAGCTAACAACCATCCGTAACTCCAGTTCCAGGGAATTCATAGCCCTCTTTTGACCTCTATGGGCATTACAGTACACAGGTACACTTACCTACATGCAGGCAATACACACATACACAATAAATAAATAAATAAATAAATAAATAAATAAATAAATACTATTTTTTTTAAAAATCTGTTCTAACTACATAAAACCCAACTATTGACTATTAACATCCACTAAAGTATGAAATTACAAATTTGAGTCCAAATCGTATGACAGACTTTGATATACTTGATTCCAAATTCTATGCAGATGAAAATCAAAATGCTGATAGACACCAATCAAGTGAAGCCATACTTCAGCCACCACAGTCTCAACAATTTCACTGTAGAGCCTATCAAGAGACAGAAGATGCAAAGGCAAAAGAAAGTATTAACGAGCCCATGATCCCTGTCTTTACATTCAGATTTTCTCCTAAGTAGGTCTTCAGAACTACCTCTATTAGACCCTATTGCTCTATTTCCTCCAAGAAAGAATAAACTAATTTTATTAAATATTAAAGACTGAAGGATTGAACATCCACAGTCATAAGTTAGCTATAAAGTTTAAAATATACCCACATCTTTGGTATGGTTGTGTTCTGTAGAAGACTAACGGGCTAAGAACTAAAAGCTTTCCAGGGCAAACAATCTTGAAAATGCTGATTACCTTTCTCTTAGAACTCCATAAACAGCTAAGTACAGTCAGCTTACCACTGGCCCTCCCTATCTGTGAATTTCATATCCGTGGATTCAACTAACTACAAATGAAAGAATTTAGGGAGGAGGGGAAGCACAGTTACTGAGCATGTAGATTATTTGCTTAACAGTACAATAGAATAACTATTATAATAGCATTTTATGCCAGGCATGGTGGTGCATGCCTTTAATTCTAGCACTCAGGGGGCAGAAGCAGGCAGATCTCTGTGAGATGAAGGTCAGCATGGTCTACATAGAGTTCCAGGCCAGTAGCGGCTACAGGGAGACCCTGTTTCAGAAAGACCAAAATAAATAAATATATAATAAATAAATAAAAATATTTTATTCAACAGGTATTCTGTTATCTAAAGACGGCTTAAAGTATATTTGAGGATACATATGGGTTCTATATATCATTTTATACAGAAGACTTTGCAAATAAGATTTTGGTATCCATAGAGGGTCCTGAAATCAGTATCCTACAGATAATAGGACATGACTGTTTGTGAGGTGTGTCCCACAGAAAAACAAGTTTAGTTACTCAATGGTTTGGGTTTATGTTTCAGAATAATTTAAAATAGTCAGCCTAGATAAATCTTCAAGCTAACATTCAACAATAAAAGTCAAAGGGACTTGCTTATGTGTTAGTACAATAGTATACTTGTTCTAAAGATATGTAAGAAACTCATTTTATCCCCCAAATACACAAGTATCCCATGTTTTACACACACACACACACACACACACACACACACACACACAGAGTACATACACACTACAAAAAGTTTAAATGTATTTCCATGTTACAAAAAATTATATATAATTTAGATCTGTAAAATACATTTAAGCGTGTATATTTATGTTGTGGATTCGTATCTCCTAACATATAGCTCTTAAACATTTAGTAACAATTTTCAAACATTTTTATTCAGATTATAGTGGTTTTGGGTTAACGACCGTGTGTGGACTTCTAAATACGGTAAATTACTACTGGTTTCAAACTCCTTTTAGAATAAGGCTTACATCGTTGCCTACCGGTAACCAAAGCAAGACAACTAGATCTAGGGTAAAGCTAGCACAGTACCAACTCCACCAGGAGAGACATCCCTTGTCAATACTCCCCGTTCCAAAGCAGAATACATGGCAAGAGCAAACCATGGCCATCCTGCTAAGCTAGGCTGTGGGATGGGAGCCGGCAAGACTAGCACCCTGGAAAAGGACATCTGAGACCCCAAGATGAATGAAACTGGTGAGAAAACGGCGGGACGTTTTAGCCAAATGGAGTTAAACAGTGCCTCTCCACAGTCTAGCAGAGCGATTAAAGGTCCAACAGGCGTGGTTAAGCCGCCCCCGTGGTAGACCCAGACTATAGCACTTTGCCTTGCCCAGTGATACCACAGGAGACTAACGCACAGAGCCCATGGCGAAAGCTGGAGGGCCGGATGCGGCCCAAAAGCCCCGCCTCTTCCTGTGGCCCCGGGGCATAGCTGACGCGCCACGCGGCTGCAGCAGACACCACTTGCTCTGCTCCGGCTGCAGAGGAGTCGCCCTGCCTGGCCCAAGAGGCGGGAGGCGGCTCCGCGCCACGTTACCTGATCAGGGCCGCTACCCTCATGCTGGGTTCAATGCGCCTGCGTGCTGTGGGTTAGAGCCGCAGGGCCCCGTGGACACGGGCGTGACGAGCACGGGGCCTCGCCTGGGTGTCCACGCCACTGCCTGTCAAGCACCACGGCTGCTGCCGCTTTGGTGCCTTCCGAGACATCCCAGAGCTGAGCGTACACCGTCTCGATGCATACTCCCTGAAGCATGGCCATTCTGGTCCAGAAAGATGCACACACAAAAATTAGATTCAGGCATAGTCTAACCACCTAAGTAAGGGCACTGAAGCTGTCAGAGGAAGGGCAAGGGATGCGTCACCCAGCCTGAGAGCCCTGGGTTTGTGCCGGTGAGTTGTTAAAAATCACGTGAGCTATTTGGAATGTTGCCTGGGGAAAGAGGCTGGGCCTCTCATCTTTCTTCAGCTACCCCGAGAAACTATTAACACCTGAACACTTTAAACCTTTAAACTTACACCATTTGAACCTGTGAGGCCCTGCTATGAAAAGGGCTCAATTGTAGTAATTCTGTAATGTGAGACTGGCCCTAGACCTAGGCCACTTGTTTTATATTTTGGGGTTTTTTTTTCAAGTTTCCATAATTCTTTTAAGAACACTTTTGGGGTCTCCAATAGTTGTCAGAAAAGTGCTGTAATAAATGAATTTCCAATTAAATATTGCATACAGTGGAAGCTATTGCTCATGAGATGCACATTGAGTGAGGTGGCTCTCCTTCAGATGACCATCTCTCTGTCTGGAAGCTCCTTTGTCATACACGGGGCATGTCTTTTGTGTCCAGTTGCACTGGTGAAGAGTGGGGACTGGGAAAGAATTTCTCCTAAAAGTCCTGGGACAGAGGGTACTGCAGGTATGAATATGATTGAAATACATTTATTATATGCAATTAATATACACTAATAAAACTTTTTCATTCTTTTTTAGCAATATGTATTTATATATTATTGTTGTGCCTCATCCACTGGACCCCAAAAAGACCACCGAGAACCCAACACACCAAAATGCAAAAGCAAAGGTTTATGGTTTATTCGGGCTTAAGTGTGGGCTCTCAGACCTCACCAACTCAACGGATCTGTGCTAAGAGCCCAGAGTAAGGGAGAGTGGAGACTTTTTTAGGTTTTAAACAAAGTGGGGGGGATACCGAAGATACATTTTGGTTGGTTCAAGGAGCCGGTGTGTGCCAACATAATTTTAAACCGATTGGATGTATAAGATGTAGCCCTGGAAGTTTCTTATTGGTAGGCGCTATTCTCAGGGCTGTGGAATGTGCTGACTGTTACCTGTGGGGCCAGGAGTCTCCATTTTTACCTTATAGGGCAGTTTTTATGCGTGGACTTGCTTAACCTATAGTTTCCTGGAAGGGGGTGGGGAATAGCAGGCTGGGGTCAGGGCATGCCAGGGTATGTCTAGGCATGTCTAAAGCAGCAGCCAAGCATTTTACAGAAGCTAAAAGAGCAATTAGTGGGGTGGGTCTGGAGGGATTGGGGGGTAACGGGTGAATGAAGAGGGTCTCAGGACTCTACATTCTCCCCTTGTCTTGTAACTGGGGAACCCAATCATGGGTTCTGGTCGGCCAGCTCACAGGTATCTGGGGGGATCGTGCTAAGGGGCATATAGACTTGTTGCCTCTGAACCATAAGTTGGATGGTGCCTAACCTGTCCTTCATGAACTGTACTAATCTATTGAGGATGTGTGGCCCAAAGGTGAGTATTAAAAATAAAACTGTAAGGGGACCTAAGAGAGTGGAGATGAGGGTTGTCAACCAGGGAGATTGGTTGAACCAGGACTCAAACCATCACTGTCTGGCCTCTCGTTCTAGTCTCCTCTGTTCCAACCCTTCTGTTATTTTGGCCATGTTATCCTTTATTAATCCTGAGTGGTGCCTATAAAAACAGCATTCTTCTCTTAGGGCGACACATAGACCACCCTGCTGTAAGAACAGGAGGTCTAATCCCCTACGATTTTACAGGGCTAGCTCAGCCAGCAAGCTCAGGGAGTCTTGTAGGTGAGTAATTGACTCCTCGACTCGTAGGAGATCTGAATCTAAGCTGGATCTGAGCTGGGAATAATGCTGATCTTGTCTTGCCAAGGCTGTGGCTCCTGTCCCTATCCCAGCAGCAATCCCTGTCCCAATGAATAGACTTAAGGTTACTGTGGTTATTGGCTCCCTTCTAAGTCTAGTGAGGCTGGTAGTTCTTGGGCCTTTTAGACTAGTATAGAGGATTAAGAAATCTTCATGAGTGTGGTAGGTGCTTCTAGGCAGGAGTCTGATAACACAGAAACCAGATGTTCTCTGCAGGACTTTCTGATTTACACAGGCTGTTAGTCCTGTGGTGCAGGCCCACCAGGTGTCATTGTGAGGCAGGAGGAACTGCCCCCTCCCTGTGACATTAAGGAGGAGGATGGTGTTGCAGAGGCTCGTATAGGTCAGTGGGATCTGGCCAACACAGGTCCCAATGCCAGTTACCTGAGATAGGGTAAGAGAAACATTTGATAGCCATCTGCATTCTGTGTAATCCACGAGGGAGAACGTTCCTCGTACAGCAATTCCCTCATAATATGGGAAGGGGGTGCAACACCATAGCAGAGCCAGCAAGAGTGGGTAGCATTCGGGTTGGTTGCATTGAGGAAGTAATAACATGAATTTAGCATCTGCAAAAGAGTTTCCCGGGTTGGGGTAGTGGCAGGAGGGGGAGGAATAGGATTTGCCCTTGAGGACTCAAGAGCCTGAGTTGTTGGCACAGGAGTATAGGTTTCGGCAGTGGGAGGTCCAGGAGGGGGTTTAGCTGGAGAAGATTTATGAGAATCATCTGGGGGGGGATTTAGGACTTGGTTGGGTCCCAGTGCATGGATGACCTGTTGGAGGAGGAGTTGAACGGTAAAGAGGGCCCCAGGGTCTCTCCCTGCAGCGTATAGCCATAGGCCCCATGTGTGTCCTACATCCCACCCCATAGACTGTTTTCCTTTCTCAGTGAACCGAATTATGAGGGGGTTGCACCGTGGTTGGGCGCAGGGCCCCCCTTACCTCCTGCAGTGGTCCCTCCCCATCCCAGGGTGGTAGATCTGGGGGCCCGTTGTAGGGTTATTAGATCCCTGGTTGATGACCCTTTCCACCAGTATGTGCCAGTGGTCTCACAGCCCCAATCAGTGCAATAATAATCCCCAGGTCTCCCACAATTGTTCTTAACTTGTCTGCTGCGTCCATGGCCTGGACAAAAGCAGATGGCGAGGCTTCGCATGCATGATCTGGGGCCGGGGTCTCGGCAGCCGAAGGGAGGAAAGGGGGTCTGGTCATGAGGTTCCCATTCTCCTTCAAAGATGTCACAGAGGTCAACCCAAAGGTCGGGGTACCAAGTGTTGGGAGAGGCTGTCTTGGAGGTAGAGTTGATGACCATCCCCGTGGCGGCGTTGGTGATTACCCAAGTTAAGTTTTGGGGCATATGGGGATTTATGTTACTTGCAGGAAAGGTGCCATCAGCTGATAAGCAGTTCAATATCAACAATAGACAGGTTAGCAGGAAGGGTCTCATTGGATACGGAGCCTGAATGGATTCGAAGGGTGTGGGGATGCCTTCCAGGTGTCTCCCTTGTAATCCTCTAGGACTGCAAATGGGGCGGCAGGTTTTGTGTGGGAGTAGTGCACCCAAGCCACGATGCCGTCCACTTTGAGTGCGGTAGGAGTCGTCAAGAGGATCACGAAGAGGCCCTTCCATCTTGGCTCGAGATTTTTCCGTTGGTGTCTGTGGATGAAGACCCAGTCACCTGGTTTAAACCTGTGGGGTTGTGGGGGGACAGCAGCTTCATATATGGCTCTGAGTTGCGGCCAGACCCATTGGTAGGTTAGTTCTAACCACTGGAGTGAGTCCAGTAGGTCCTGGTCTCCCAAGGTCGATACTAGGTCAGCTTGGAGGCTAGGTATCATAGGAGGGGGGTTTCCATACATGATTTCAAAGGGGGTCAAACCCATCTGGTATGGAGTGTTTCTTACTCTAAAAAAGGCAAAGGGGAGGAGAGCCACCCAGTCTGCACCAGTCTCTAAAGCTACTCATTCTTTCTACCTGTCCTGAACTCTGGGGTCTATAAGCACAATGCAGTTTTCAATTGGCCCCCAGTGCAGTAGTTATTCCCTGGCTTACCTGAGAGACAAAGGCTGGCCCATTATCTGATCCAATTGTAGTTGGGAAACCATACGTGGGCAGGATCTCTTCAATTAGCTTCTTGGCCACCACGTGAGCAGTCTCATGCTTGGTTGGGTAGGCCTCAGTCCATCCAGAGAAGGTGTCTATGAATACTAGTAAATATTTATATCCAAATTTTCCCTGTTTGATCACAGTGAAATCAGTCTCCCAATACGTACCCGGTCATGTCCCTCTGCTCCGGGATCCTGGGTTAGCATGGGACGGAGCTGAGTTGGTTAATTGGCAGGCATGACAATGCCTAACAATGTTTTCAATGGCTTGATTTCCTTCCTTAATTTTGACTTTGGCCCTTTCTATAGTGGGGAATTTTAGGCAGTTCCCTTGCTCCGGAATCAACAAGAATGGGCAGGATCGTGGAGGTCAGGGCTATTTCTTTAGCTGTCCTGTCAGCAAGATTATTTCCCTTCTGGGTAGGGTTGTTTCCTTTTTGGTGACCCGGGCAGTGGATTATGGCTAGTTTTGTTGGGCCCCAGAGGGCTTACAGGAGGTCTAAGATCTCTTGTTTATTTTTAACAGTCTTTCCCTCTGCAGTAAGGAGGCCCCTCTCTTGATAGAGGGCCCCATGGATATGCACAGTGGCAAATGCATATCTGCTATCTGTGTAGACGTTGAGTCTCTTTTCTTTACCCATCTTTAGGGCTTTGGTAAGCGTGATCAGTTCAGCTTTTTGGGCCGATGTACCTATTGGCAATGGCTCGACCCAAATGACTCTTGAGGTGGTTGTGACTGCTCCCCCAGCATGCCTTTTACCATTTCTGATGAAGCTGTGTTAGGGTCCGTGACTCCGTGGGTCTCTTCTGGAGAACAAATGCACAAGTACAGAGATGCAAAAATCAAGCAGAGTTTTACTAAACCAGCTAGCTGGGGC